AAAAAAAATGCAGAGAACAGCTTTTATTTGTACAATTTCTATTCTTTGACTTACTTTTTAGCAAACTCAAAAACAGCAGGACTGGAAGGACTGTATTCACTTAACATGGTTTTCCTGAGTCTAATATGTTCATTCCTCAGCAGCGCCTTTCAAGAGCATAAACACTGCATCCAACCAGGCTTCGCATTCTATACACATCCAACCAAATGGGAAACCTAATCAGTCCTGTTAACTAGGAGCAAAACCCCAAGCCAAGGGAGGTCAAACCCAAAGCGTGATTACTCACTGCACTTCCCTTGAGATCAGAATTTTCCAGATAGAAGTACTTTCATGGGTTTAAGCGATGAACATCATAACTGAATGTATCTTGGACTCATGTCTCTCCCCAAATAGACACCGGAGTGTCGAGTTCACAGACAACACAGCTGCTCTGAGGGAGCAGAATAAAATTGCTTTATATATCCTGCGGCAGAAAGGCCAGTGACATTCAAAGAAGCTTCCAAAACTGTGTGCGCGTGTGCACGTATGCGTGAGCGTGTGACAACCTGCAAAACTCTGCACTGGGTATGCAAATATCCACATTAGGTGTGTGAAACAGCGCTAGGCATGCAAAACAAGGCTTCTAAACCCCAGAGCTGGACGTCCAGTACGCAGCCGGGTCTGATTTAAGCCACCAAAGGGGCAAGACTCCATCGCAACCCCCCTCCCGACTTAGAAGCACTTAACGCTGTCCTCTGGAGTCTTAGCAGAACAGGGCTACTCCACGAAGTGGCTTCCACGCACACGGACAAGTGGCGCGAAGCGGAGCGCCGGATCTGCACTTCTGGACCAGCCCACCTCCTCCACCTCCAGCCTCCTCCATCCTCCACCTCCAGCCTCCATCCTCCATCCTCCTGCCTCCTCCATCCTCCCCCATCCCCCCCCCCCAGCCTCCCCCATCCCCCCCCCCCAGCCTCCCCCATCCCCCCCCCCCAGCCTCCCCCATCCCCCCCCCCCAGCCTCCCCCATCCCCCCCCCCCAGCCTCCCCCATCCCCCCCCCCCAGCCTCCCCCATCCCCCCCCCCCAGCCTCCCCCATCCCCCCCCCCCAGCCTCCCCCATCCCCCCCCCCCAGCCTCCCCCATCCCCCCCCCCCAGCCTCCCCCATCCCCCCCCCCCAGCCTCCCCCATCCCCCCCCCCCAGCCTCCCCCATCCCCCCCCCCCAGCCTCCCCCATCCCCCCCCCCCAGCCTCCCCCATCCCCCCCCCCCAGCCTCCCCCATCCCCCCCCCCCAGCCTCCCCCATCCCCCCCCCCCAGCCTCCCCCATCCCCCCCCCCCAGCCTCCCCCATCCCCCCCCCCCAGCCTCCCCCCCCCCTCCCCCCCCCCCACCCTCCTGCCTCCTCCATCCCCCCCCTCCAGCCTCCATCCTCCATCCTCCTGCCTCCTCCATCCTCCACCTCCAGCCTCCTCCACCTCCAGCCTCCTCCATCCCGTCTCCGAACTGGAGGACCCACAACGAGCCGGGGGGCGACCACACTCTGCGACATCAGGGAGGCGTGCCGTGTGCACCGCGCACCGTCCTCTTCCCACCGAGGGACCGCGGCGCGGGGAGCGGGAGGGAGGGATGCGCAGGGTCCGTCCGCGCCGAGCGGAGGTGACGCACCGGTCTTCAGGGAGCTGCGCCGACCCACACGCGGCCCGGTGATGGACCGGAGGCGCCGGGGACCGCCGAGTCCTCCGGGCCGCTCGGGGCTCCAGGGTCGACGCAGTACCCTGCGTCCCGGCCGTGAGAAGACGCTCCTTCCCCGGGCTAAGTCCCCGAGGACCGGCCCGTGCGGACCCTGCGGACGGCGCTGGGGTTAAACCCCGCCCTGCCCGCTGCCCGCGTCCACACTCACCTGCCCGCAGCCCGCGTCGGCTCTCCACAGAGCTCAGCCCCTCACACACCGCAGCCCGCGGCGCGGCGCGCCCCGCCCGTCTTCGCCCCGCCCCTTCACGCACTCGTCCCGCCCTCGACCTCGCTCGCTCCGCCCCTCCTCGCGCTCGCTCCGCCCCCAGCAGCACTAGTTCCGCCCCTTCCCGCACTCCTCCGCCCCCCTGGAGGCGGGCCCAACGAGACCGTGCCGGAATCTCGAAAGAACGCCCCGAATTCTCGCGAGATTTGGTTTCTAGTTGGTTGTTTTCCTCAGTGTTTGGTCACGGCCGACGCACCCTGACGTCATACGCACCCAGGGCGGAACTAGCCTTTTGGCGTCCGCGCTGGCGGAAGTCCTGACTGGTCCTAGAGAAGCTGTTGAGGTCGGTCCCTGACTCCCTGTCTCCGCGTCCCGTCGCCTCGACTCTTCAGTCAGATGGCCTGCTGCGTCCCCGCAGTGTTCAGTACTCGGTACTCCACGGGCAGTACACTGCTGCGTCTCCGCAGTGTTCAGTACTCGGTACTCCACGGGCAGTACACTGCTGCGTCTCCGCAGTGTTCAGTACTCGGTACTCCACGGGCAGTGCACTGCTGCGTCTCCGCAGTGTTCAGTACTCGGTACTCCACGGGCAGTGCACTGCTGCGTCCCCGCAGTGTTCAGTACTCGGTACTCCATGGACAGTGCACTGCTGCATCCTTGCAGTGCTCTGTGCTCAGTACTCCACGGGGTAGGGCACTGCTGCATCCCCGCAGTCCTCAGTACTCCACAGTGCCCAGTACTCAGTACTGATTCCATCGGCTACCTGGAGCGGTGTCCAGTTCGCATTTCTAGAGCTCGGTCGCTGTGAATAGCTGGGACCGTGGGAAGGTGGCCCTGTGGGCAGAAGACTGAGCTGCTTGGAAGCCACTTCCGGGAGGCTGACGCCGACTTTGGGAAGATGGCACAGGTCGTCTTTGAGGACAGGGCTGGCCTTAGAGTCGCCATTCCCAGAGGTGCTGGACCTAGTTGTCCTTGATCCAAAGACTGGGGTTTAGATTAATGGTAGATGAATACCCTTCTCTCTGTCACTCCTAGGGTGATAAGCATCACTCAAAACACCAATCAAGGGGTTGGAGAGATGGCTCAGCAGTTAGAGCACTGGCTGCTATTGCAGGGGACCCAGGTTCGAGTCCCAGCACCCACATGGCGGCTAACCATCCATAACTCCAGTTCCAGGGGGCTCTGACGCCCTCTTCTGACCTCCCTGGGTATTGCACACATGGTGCATTTGTATACATAAAATAAATACATAAATGAAAATATTTTTAAGAATTTAAATCAGGGATCAGGGAGATGGGCCAGCCTAAAGGGTTGGCCCCACCAGTGTGAGGACTTGAGTTTGGCTCACTAGCACTTACTTTAAAAGCGATGACTGTAACCCCAGCACTGAGGAGGGAGTGGTGAAGACAGGCCTCTGGAGCTCACGGGCCAGCCAACCTAGCCAATCCATGATTCACTAAGACCCTGTCTCAAAAAATAAGGTGGAAGGATGGGCTGGGGTACAGCTCCATGGTAGAGCATGTGGCTAGCATGTGCAAGGCCTGGTTTTAATCTTTGGTATCAGAAATCTAAACGAAACAGACTTCCTGTTGGGGCTAGAGAGATGGCTCAGTGATTAAGAATCCATACTGCTCTTGCAGAGAACCTGAGTTCCGTGGCCGGGACCCACACTAAGTGATTCACAACTGCCTATAACTCTAGCTCCAGGGTATCCAACACCTTATCTGGCCTCCGAGGGTACCTACACTCACAGGCACATAAGAATAAAATGAACCTTAAAAAGTAGAGAGTTAAGTTGTATACATGCACATATATACAACACATACACAGAGACCACACATTCATATGCAGAAATGCCAACCAGTATCTTTAGGTTTGCCAAGACTTGGTGACGTGAGAAATAGGAAAGAGTCGTAGCATCATTTCTGCACCTTTTCCACACAGGGCATGACAAAGGAACTAGTTTGGGAATCAGTGTCATCATGAGGAAACTGGTTCTGCATACATACTCCAATGATAGTTGTCATATAGAAGGTTTAACTGTGACCAGACTTGACAGAGCCCTACACACCCCACTCCTTGTACTGAATACATACATACACATGCTCTAGACACACGCATACCAATTCAAGTGTATAGATCAAGAAGCTCTATGGTTAGTTTGACAGCAAATTTGAGTTTTCAACTACACTAGCTTTTCACAACGCTAGGGCAGTGTGAACTATCTAGACCAATAGTGCAGGTTAGGGGAGCTTAAGCAAAAGCTTCTAGCTTGAACTCATCCTGAACAACTTCCCTGAGTAGATCGCTGATGTTACACAAACTGAAATGTTTAGAGCTACGTACCTTCATGAAAGTTTGGTCAAGTCCATCTACGGACCCCCTTTCAAACTAGTGTTCTGAAATGCGTAAACTACCTAAGGCTATGAGGAAAACGAATTATTCCAATATACAAGTATGAAGATACTAAAACGAGTTTGTACTATTGCTGTTTGGTAGCTAGCTCTCAAGACAATGCCAGCAACCCTTGCCTCCTGATTTTCCCGCCTTGTGTAGTGTCCTTCTCTTGAGTGCTGGCTGGACCTTGTAACTTGGTTCTAAAGGGCAACACATGGAAGTGATGGTTTGTTGTTTTCGTGTTAGGTCACAAAGAGCTCTGGCTTTCCACTCACTTGTTTTCTCTTGTTCACATTGATGGAAACCAGCTGCTATGTTGTCACCCTCTTTGTGGAGAGGCCCGGAGCCAGGAGCTGAGAGAGAGGCCAGTCAAAAGCCACCAATGCCAGGCATGGTGGCACACACCTTTCGTCCCAGAACTCTGGAGGCAGAGGTAGAGGCAGAGGGATCTTTGTGAGATCAAGCCCAGCCAGATCTATATAATGAATTCCAGGCCAGCTGCAGCTACAGGGAAACCCTATCTCAATCCCATCCCCCGAAAGCCACCAAGAAGTTGAGGCCCTCGGTCTAACAACCTGTGAGCAACTGAATCCTACTGAGAACCTTCGGAGTGAGTTTAGAAGCAGAGTCTCTCTCTAGGGAACCTTGTGATGATGGCAGCCCCTCCAGATACCTGGCAGCCTTGGAGCCCCAGACTCAGCTAAACCAAGCCAGGTTCCTTCCCCCACAGAACTGTGAGGGAATAAATGGTTGCTCTAAACCACAAACTTTTGAGGGTACTTTGTTACATAGTTATAGATAATTAAAGCAATCCTATATCAAATTATTTATTAATGCATTAAACAACAAAATCAAGAACAGGAATTTTTCAGTAGTGATACATACACATACATATCAACAATATTTTGAGATGCTTGAAGTGATTTTAATATGATAGGTTATATGTGTCATTTGGGGGAACAAAGTCATTTTTGCTAATAATATTGCTAATAATACTGCAATTTCCTTTCTCTTTAGGATGGATGAAATAATAGTTTCCAACTAGTAGTTGGTGAAAATATAAACATACATATATGTTAAATAGAATTATATAATATTTTCGTCTTTAAAAAAATAGCCGGGCATGGTGGCGCACGCCTTTAATCCCAGCACTCGGGAGGCAGAGGCAGGCGGATCTCTGTGAGTTCAAGGCCAGCCTGGTCTACATAGTGAATTCCAGGACAGCTGGGGCTACAGGGAGACCCTGTCTCAAAAAGACCAAAAAAAATTTATTCTCAGGCTAAAAAAAATCTTTGGTTTAAATAGTAGATCATTTATAGAGAATATCTTTGTCTCTCTCTCTCTCTCTCTCTCTCTCTCTCTCTCTCTCTCTCTCTCTCGCTACTGTAACAATCTCAGGTCACAGATACAGTACTAAGCTTATTAGCATGATTAATATGGATTTTTTTTTTTTTTTGGTCTTTTTGAGACCGGGTCTCTCTGTAGTCCCAGCTGACCTGGAACTATGTAAACCAGGCTGGCCTTGAACTCACAGAGATCTGCCTCCCTCTGCCTCCCGAGTGCTGCGATTAAAGGCGTGCACCACCACTCCCAGTTTAATATGGGTTTTAGACGCTTCTCTACTTTTTCCTCTTCTCCACGTCTCTGCAAAATTAATGTGGAATATGTAAATTAGTTGATTTTTTTGTAAGTGAATATGACTCAGCTTCAAAATCTATTTGAATTGTTAAAATTAGGCCTTTAGAGATGGTGTTAGTTCTTTTAAAAATCTAGACACTAAGAGAGTTAAGAAGGGAGCTCTCCCTTTTCTTCTAGTCACCCAGTTCAGTGGTTCTAAGCACAAGTTCAGCCCCCGCCGCCACTCTTGGTCTGCTTTTTATTAGCTGATGAAACTCGTGGAACTGGAGCAAAAAGCCAGATGGAGATTATCTCTAGGGGCCAGCAAGGTGGCTCAGAGGGTATAAACAGCTGCCACCACCCCTGAGAACCGGAGCTTGAGCCTCATGACACAAATGGTAGAAGGACCATGTCTGTAACTTGAAGCCTGGGAGTGGCTGGATGTTGCTAGGTACTGCCTCTGCCATCAGAGCTTAAAGGGAAAGTCAGACAGTAGATCTGTTTAGAGGCAAAGGGCAGGACAGACCACAGGTGAACAGGACAGAGGGTTTCCACTGAGTGAGATTACATAATGGAAGGAGAATCTCGGAGTCCACTGGAAAGCAATGGCTGAATCCCGGGTTTCAGGCACTGCTAATGGTTTACATGTGAGATGTGCCCCTCAGGCACGTGTGTTTGAGTACTTGGTCCCTAGCTAGTGGCATTATTTTGAGAGGCTGTGGACCCTTTAAGACACTGGGCCTGGCTGGTGGATCTGGGTCACTGGGGGTGGACTTTGAAGCTTATATCCAGTTCTACTTATGACCCAAGCTGTCCACGTCATGCTCCGTGGTCCACCGAGATGTGAGAAGTCTCTTCTTCCCCACTTTGGTGGACTGGACCCTCCCAAACGTGGACCACAAAATAAACCCTTCCTCCCTAATGCTCCTTTGGTTGGGTCTCTGGCACAGCAGTGAGAAATCACTATCATAAGCTCATTTCTTCAGCTCCCTGAAGCTCCGCTGACCCATTCACCTGGGGATAACTCAGGAGCTCCTCATTATTGGGGAATAATTGTTACCAAGGCAAGAAGAAAAAAAAGCAATTAGAATATTAGAAGAACTAGTATTTTCTGGTAAATTTGAAGAGAATGAGGGTTTGGGAAGAAGATTCCAGCTTGAAAAAAATAAAACAAAATGAAAATTTAAGTTAAAATTGTAGCCAGGGAGACAATAAAGTTTTAGACTGGAGAGAGAAAGGAAGGAAGGAGGGGGGGAAGGAGTGGGGAGCTGTACCATGTTGAAGATCTTTAAGAGCCTCCTTCCCACAATTGTTTACTGAGCCTGAGACTCTGTCGTTCATATTTGACATTTCATAAAAGACATTCTCAAAAAATGTTTCTCTGAAACCTGATACTCATTTTTTTCAGTTTTAAGTCATTTATGTGCATCAGCCTTCACTGTGTGTGAACAGCCGAACTTCCCCTTCACTGTGTGTGAACAGCCGAACTTCCCCTTCACTCTGTGTGAACTGAACTTCCCCTTCACTCTGTGTGAACTGAACTTCCCTTCACTGTGTGAAGGGAACTTCCCCTTCACTGTGTGAACTGAACTTCCCTTCACTGTGTGTGAACAGCCGAACTTCCCCTTCACTGTGGGTGAACAGCC